ATTATAAAATAAAAAAATATTTTTAATATTATTATTAATTTTTAAATTATTATAAATATAAAGTTTAATTTTTAAAAAAATTTATTTTAACGTAATTAAAAATGCTTAAATTATTTTAAATTAAAATTTATTAAAACTTACATTTATAATTTATAAATATAATTATATAAATTAAACGTTTTATGGCGTTTATAACGTTTTTAACGTAATTAAACATAAGTTTAATTTTTAACAAATTTAATTTAAACCATTAAAATAAAATAAAATTTACGTTATTAATTTAAATTTATTAAAATAATTTTATAAATAATGTTTTATTTTATTATTTAATAACATTAATAAATTTGTAAATTTTTTAAGTTTAAAAGTTTTTTTTTTTTTATTTTTTTTTTTTAACATTTTTTTTTAATAAATAATATTAATTTAACGAGTTATATATTTTTAATTATAACGTTATGTTTAACCGTTTATTAAAAATTTATTACGGTTAATTAAATAAAATATTATATTAAAATAAAAAAAATCCGTAAATTTAATTTAAAAAAGTAATTAATTATAAATTAACGTAATTAACTTAAATTATTACAGTATTTCGCATTTTTATATAAAAAAAAAATTATTTTTTTTAAATATATATATTATAACGTTATATATAATATGTTTTAAAAAAATAATTTTTTATTAAATTAAAAAATTTAATTATTAAAATATTTATACATTTAAATAATTTTACAATTTTAATAATTATAACATTATAATTAATATCGTTTAATAATTTTAATTAATGCGAAAATAATTATTTAAATTACATGTTTATACGATATATTATTATTAAAATATTTAAAAATTTTTAAAAATAATTATTTTAAAAAATATTAATTAAATAACTTTATATAATATAACTTTTTAATTAACCAATTAATTAATTTTATACATATATACATATATATATATATTAAAAATCATTTAAAAAAACTTCGTTTTTAATTATTTTAAATGACTTTAAACCCGATATTTTCGAGGCGGGTTTTACCCGTTTGTTTTGCCATAAACGCCACGTAACGTGTGGTTTATGTTATTTTAATGGCTTAAATTAAATTTGTTAAAAATTAAACTTACGCCCGATTATATTAAAAGCGTTATAAACGCCATAAAACGTTTAACTTATATAATTATATTTATAAATTATAAATATAAATTTTAATAAATTTTAATTTAAAATAATTCGGGCGTTTTTAATTATATTAAAATAAGTTTTTTTAAAAATTAAATCTTATATTTATAATAATTTAAAAATTAATAATAATGTTAAAAATACTTTTTTATTTTATAACTTAAAATTATTATAATATTTTTTTTACCTTTTTATTTTTTTTTTTATATTTATATAACATTACGTTATAATATTATAAACTTTAATGTTTAAAACAACGTTTAAAAACACGTAATAACATTAAAAATATTATATTAACATTTATATTTACGTATTTACACTTATAACCACGTTTAAAATATTTTTTATTTTTATAATTTAAAACTTTTAATTTAATTTTTTAAATTTTTTTAATATTTTACATATTTATATAATATTATGTTATAATATTATAAATTTTAACATTATATATTTTTAAAAATATTACAATTAATATTATAATTAATATTACAATTAATATTACAATTAATTATTATTTTAAAACATTTAAAACGTTTAAAACGCATATATTTAAACGTTTAAAAAATCAAACAAATACATATATTTATTAATAATAAAATTAATAAATATTTTAAATTAATTAAAATTTATTTTAAACATATTAATATTATTATTTTTAATATTATTTTTAATATTAAATAATTTAATATAATAAAAATTATTTAAATTACTTTAAATTAAAAATGCGAAATTTATAAAGGAAAATAAATTAAAAATATAATTAGTTAAAAAAAAATGTAACGGGAAAGGTATAACAAAGTTTACGTCATTAATTTAAGTTTATTAAAATAAAGTTTATGTGTTTATACTTGTAAATCATAAGTAAAATATTTAAAAATATTTGGTTTAAAGTTATACGGTATTATATAAATTTTTAACGCTTTTATTAATGATAAAAAAATCAAATATTATATTTATAATGATTTAATATATTATAATAACGTATAAAATAACTTTAATTTTAATGATTTAAAGTTTATAATATGTTTTTTTTAATTTTTAATTTTTTTTATATATTTATATAATATTACGTTTTTATATATTAAGTTTTAACGTTTAAAAATTTTTAACGTTTTAATTATATTAAATTTTAAAGTATTTAAATATAATAATTTAATATTTTATAATTACATATAAAATCTTTTTTTTTTAATAATTTTAAGTTAATAATATTATTATTTAAACTTTTTAGTTTTTTTTATTAAGTTTTAACGTTTATTACGGTTATTATTACGGTTATTATTACGGTTAATGTTATAACCGATATTATAACCGTTATTATAATTAATGCGTTATAATTATTATAACCATTTTAATATTTTAAAAGATTTAAAACGCGTGGATTTAATTAATAAATTTAATAATAAAATTAATAATTATTATATAATTAATTATTATTTATTATAAATACGCGTTAATATTATTATTTTAATAATATTATTAATATTATTATTTTAAAACGTTAAACGTATAATTTTAATATATAAAGTTTTAAAATTACTTTAAATTATAAATTCGATATTATTTTAAAAAGTTGTTTCGGGTTTTAATTGGTTAAAAAGTAATATGGTTAAAAAAAGTATAACTTTATAAACAATATCAAATTTATAGTTTAAATTTATTAAAATAAATTTTTAACTTTTTTATTTTAAAATAATTATATATAACCGTATAATCTTTTATTAATATATATAATTAAATAAAAATAATACGTAAAAATAAATAAACATTATATTTTAAATTAAATTAAAAGTTATAATAAAAATATAATGTAAAAAAAAAAAATAAAAAAATAAAAATAAAAATAAAAATATTATTAAACGGATTATATATTTTAAAAATACAAGTGTATAATAGTAAATTTATATGGTAAAAAAAATATTTAACGATATATAATAAAAAGTTTATTTTTTTATTATTATTTTATATTATTACATATAAATTTATATGTAAAGTTATTTATTAAACATATTTAATTAAACCATTTATTTAACGTTACGTTATTATTTATTTATTTATTTATATAAAATACGTAAATATATTACGTAATACTTTTTAAAACGATTATTTTTAAAAAACTTTAAATATTTTAATAATAATATATTTTATAAATATATAATTTAAATAATTATTTTCGCATTAATTAAAATTATTAAATAATATTAATTATAATATTATAATTATTAAAATTATAAAATTATTTAAATGTATAAATGTAATAATTAAAAATTAAATTAATAATTAATAATTAAATTTTTTAATTTAATTAATTAATTTTTTACATTATATTAATTAAGTTAATATTTCTATAACAATAAACCGTAATAAAGCTTGGAAATATACATTTAATATTTTTTAAATTGTGGCAAGTGACCTTTTACCAATTTTAATTTAATGTATAATTATTTTTTTTATTTTGGCATAGTACCTTGTCTGGTCAACCGTACTTGCGGCAACCTATCTTATCTACCCGCAACTAAAATATCGCCCAACCCAATCAATGCAGCCGTCGGGTAGTGCAAGATTTGTGTGTTTGCCTACTTCATCTTGGATGAAAGTGAAAGTTATATAGACTACATCGAATATCAGTTAAGAGCCTCATCCACGAGGGATTAATCATACCTTTTATAATTGGACCTTAAGCCGACAGTAATGTCATAATATATTTACCGGAAAGTATCGTGATGGTGTTATGATAACCAAGTCCCGATGCTGTCCTATGATCTATCCATACCTGCGGTAGTTGTGATAGTTATGTGCGATATATTAGATCTACACATCTTCAGCATCAAGCATAATTTATTTCATGCTTCGTAATATCAGCTCATTCTCCTAGGTGTCCCGTCGTAAGACGCCTTTCCCGCGATTGCGTGCGTACCTGGTTACCACCCTACAACCTTGCTGCATTCACGCAACGTTTCCTTAATGGTGTTTATAGACTTGGCACATATTCTCATTACTCACCGTTGACACCAGGTTTTCTATTATTAAGCTATCGTCCCGTCCTTGGTATGGGATCAATCTTGCTACGGTAACATTGAGAAATGAAAAAAGAAAGGAGCATCGATCTAGAATCTAAGCTGAAGTCTCCTGAGAAGTTCTACTTTATACCACATGCTCGCACAATAACGGCGCACCATGGACATGGTCTACGCAGGTAAGGTCTGTGCCTGCATCAGATCGAGTGTTGCAATCCAACGGGAACCAACAGTATCATCGCTCGATATTAACCTACCTTTTACCGACATCAATACCCCCTGCCCGTCCCTTTTCCCGGACCATCCCAGTGCAGGCCCCGTCTTGTCAAGCGTGCTTTTCCAAGGAAATATCCAATAACATTTTAGTATAATTGCGTGGCCTCTCCAGACGGACTATACGTCCCATAGCTTAGGAGATTTTATTCTTAATTTTCCCTTCTGACGGACCGAAAACGACCACTTAGACACTCAGGCTAAAGACCTGGGTCATATCGATATCCCGCAGAATGACTTGCATTACTGCTCATGAAACTTGGGCTCTCTAAGACGTCCTATTGGACGAGTAAAACTTTTATTAGGAGTGACGCGTTCGATGAGTTGAGATGGCACCAGCTTGCCTCCATACAACTCGGCGGAAGGGCTCACTTCGAGTCTAGGCTCGATGAACGCCTAAGATGGTGAAGAGTGGCAAGCTTGAGTTACTTCTTGGGCTTCTTATATAAGAGCTGAAGTCTTGGTTCCTATAGTTAGTTTAGCTATAACACCGTTGAGGGACTGTTCGCTCGTTCTTGTCAGCTCTCTTAGTCGATATGCGGAAGATCTCTTCGTGGGGGCTCGCCCAGTGCCTCTTCTGGGCTTGCGTATCTGGTATAGGAGAGCGGACTGATTGCAATCCCGTTTTCTTAACGACGACGGTCTTCGCTACCAAGACCATCTATACGTCTGCCCCGTCGAATGTGACTAGTAGTACAAAGGTGCCATGGACTAATTCAACTACGACGGCGAGTTCAAGCTCAAGAATTACAAGTAGCTGGGATGTTCCAGTTGGAAATGCTACTACAAGTGTTATTATCCCTTCGACCTCATCGACTATAGTTCTACCTGGAAATACCACTACTGATGTCATTATTACCCCAACTACAGCAACTACAGCAACTACAGCTCCTCCGTTTGGATATAGTACCTCGAGTGCTACTGTCCCCTCAACCACAACACCATCGACCTCGGTTCCGTTTGGAAACACTACTACAAGTATCCCCATCCCCATCCCCTCCACTTCTACTTCAATCTTACCAACCACAACTCCATTTGGGAATACTACTACAAGTGCCACCGCCGTTCCAACTACCGTAGATCCACCAAGCACAACTTCGGCAACCACACCACCGACAGCAACACCTACCCCCCCTTCCGGCGGGCTTCCGCCGTTGCCGCCTGGTCCCTTCAGAGGATTCAAGAATGGCGCCTACTTCACGAATTGGTCAGGAAGCATACCCCTATACCGAACTAAAGTTATAGCTAACGCTCATATCAGGGGCGTCAACTCGGGCTTCCATCCTCAAGAGTTACCGGTCTCTGAGCTTACGCATATCTACTATGCCTTCGCCGATATTGAAGCAGACGGAACAGTAAAGTCTTCAGACCCCGTCGTAGATCTCCAGAAGCGCTACCCAGACGATTCACTCTCGAATCGTACTGCGAACGCTTATGGCGCCGTCAAGCAGCTATACATCCACAAGAAGTGGAACCGTACCCTCAAGGTACTCCTGTCAATAGGCGGATGGAATTTCTCACCAAAATTCGTGACGGCGGCTGCAACAGATGCTGCGAGGTACAAATTTGCGACTTCTGCCGTGAAGCTCGTTACGGACTGGGGTTTCGATGGTATTGATATTGACTGGGAGTACCCCGCCAACGATGTCGAGAAGGATAATTTCGTCAAGCTAGTTCAGGCTTGTAGACAGGCATTCGATAGATACGCACTCCTCCACGGTGTACAGTACCGATTCACCATCAGCGTGGCAAGTCCCGCCAGCCCTCAAAACTACGAAAAACTGGACTTGTTCGCAATGAACAAATACGTAGACTCCTGGTAAGTCCTATACCGCCCCTTTTTACGTAACTCTCAACCTTATTATATATATATATATATATAGTTATAACGTTATAATACTAACAAACAACAGGCATCTAATGGCCTACGACTACTCCGGAAGCTGGGACACCGTCAGCGGGCACCAAGCGAACGTATTCTCCTACGAAAGCAGCGCCGAGTCAAAACGTCTCAGCACCGACGCCGCCGTGCAGCACTACGAAAGCCAAGGCGTCCACCCGCAGAAGATCCTGCTCGGCCTACCCCTCTACGGGCGCGCCTTCGAGGGGACCTCCGGATTAGGGCAGAACTACACGAGTGTGGGCCAGGGCGGCCCGCAGCCCGGGGTATACTACTTTAAGGACCTGCCGAAGCCCGGCGCCAAGGTCGTCTATGACGACGTGGCGAAGGCGACGTACAGCTACGACGCCGCGGCCAAGGAACTGGTTTCGTACGACGATGTCCGGAGCACGACATACAAGGCGCAGTACCTGAAGTGGCGCCGCCTTGGAGGGGCGTTCTTCTGGGAGGCGAGTGGTGATAAGGGCGGTGCGCGGGGATTGGTTAATACGATGTCGAAGCATTTGGATTGGCTTGATGAGACGCCGAATAACCTCCACTACCCGACGAGTCAGTATCGGAATATACGGTGGGGTATGCCTGGGGAGTAGAGTAGATTGGTTATGCCCCCTTCTCTTTTGTGCAGGGACTTGGAATAAGCAAAATTGGATTGGTGCGTCTGGAGTTTATGTAACGCTTATGAATTGGCCTTGAAAGGTGTCTTTTTAAATTGTGGTATATATTGTCTTAATAGATATGATTTTGAGTATACTGGGCATCAATATGTACAGATTAGAGCGGTCTGAGAGATATTGTCGAAGATCACCTCGCTAGATTCCAATAGTTCATGTTGGGGAACACGTCATGTCTCAGCAAATTCATATGCGCCAGTTGATTCCTCAACCTTGACCTCAATCTTGCTCTCCTCGAGCTCCTTACCATCGACTTTGATGCCGGCTCGCATAACATCACCGGGTACGACTGGTCCAACACCTTTCGGTGTGCCGGTGAGGATGATATCGCCCTTCTCAAGAGTCATGACCTTGGAGATGTCGCTTAATAGCCTTGGGATCTGGAAAAGCATGAGCTCGGTATTGTCCGATTGTCGGACATTGTCGTTGACAGTAAGGTAGATATCTATGGAGTGAGGGTTAGGAATTGCCGATTTGGAAATGAGATTGCTGATCGGTAAAAAGGTGTCAAAACCCTTGGCGATTGACCAAGGCAAGCCCTTTTTCTTGGCTTCATTTTGAATGTTTCTTGCCGTCATGTCGATGCTTAGAGCATAGTCTTCGATATTTAGTTAGTTTCATTTAATAATAATAAACTATGAGTTATGAGATTGCAAAAATCTTACGCTCAATAGCGTCGAAAGCGCCCTTCTCATCATCTGCTGCAAGATCTCTCACTTGCTTGCCTAGAACCAAGGCCAATTCAACCTCATAGTGAAGGTCGACACCCTTGGGGCGGATGACGGGACCGGCTCCGGGTAACAGAACCGAGGACGTAGGCTTCAGAAAGAAGAAAGGCTGCTTCGGCCTGGCGGAATTCAATTCGGTGATGTGGTCGCTGCGCGCATGTAATACCTAATGTTAACACGACGCCTCACGCCTCACGCCTCACCCCCGTGCCGCGGGATGATTACATAGTGGGCGCACTCACGCATAATTTCGTCCGATGCAGACGACTTTGCCGGCCTGCTTCAAAGAAGCCACCGACGCCATGCCGCGACGGAAAACATTCATTGTCTTTGATAGGTAATCAGCAATGCACGTTTGCGACGATTTCAGATCCTGCGGGCTTGACTTACATATAGGTAATAGGTATGAAAAAGAACGTGGCTGGCTGGCGGGGGAACGTTCCGGCTGTACTAGATACAAGTGATCCGAAGGTGTGAGCCTTAGGTAGGTATATCACGTCAAGCTGGTTCGGCAACCGTATGCGGAGTCGTTAATGGCGTTTGCGTTGATCCTTCGGGGTCCAAACTCCTCCAAACGTTACCTACAGGCTACCGATCTTCGGCTCTGACGAGCTTCGTGTTGCTGTTAGCGGGATTAATTAAAGCCCTGGCAGCATGGAATTTGCGAGTACATTGTAGTGTACATTATATACTAGGTACCTGTGTACCATACCATACCCTTAGTACAGGCTCCACTATCCAAAAACGCTACCTTTCTCTCGGTACGGATATCTTGGCGGTAGGTACTATGTAGGTATGTAGGTAATTCGTAACTTTGCACATCTTATTACTTTACGATATCACTGGGGGTGGACTTTTACAGCGTGGGGGGAGTCACTGTAGGACTTCTGGACCCGGCTAGTCCGACGTCCAGACCTGGGGAAAGCGTACCCCACAATAACTCTACTGCGTAAATAATTTATTATTCTCTCACCTTCTCCATGTCCCCTGCAAAAGTCCCTTAGCCCACCTTGATTATTGATATCGTCACAAGACCAATCTCCTTTTTCATGCCTGCCACATTTATAACTTTGTCTGCGTAATCTAAGTTCGACGAAGTCGCAAGCTCACTCTTCTCCGGATTCGAATCTCAATTTAGACGCCACCTAGCAAAATATTATCAATTTTGAAGGATCTTTATTGTACGCGACAGTATGGAAGCTCTTCAGCTGGCACAGATGCTAGCAGATCTCAATGATCTCCAAGCTGCCGTATGTATTTCTTTTCGTCGCATTTTCCCCAACTACACTTTGACGAGAATATACCTCGCTAACCCAACATGCCTTACAGCAAGATCAATCAGCGGCGAAAAAATTGGTGAGCGTCAACCGAACGCTCGACCGTAAGGAACACCTACAGCAACAGCCAAGAAGCGTCTCCGAAGGCAGGGTGACATCCCCAGCTAGTCGCATGACGGACAAGTTTGGCCGTCGCATGCTCACACCACCATTGACGAGAACTAATTCGGCATCGCCATCTATACCTGGTAGTCCTCTTGGAGGAGAGGTATGTTTTTCTAAAGTCGCCCTTTGTTTGTCGCGGTAGCACAAATGCTGATTAATTATATAGCGACCGGACGCCGATATTGATAGAGCTTCTACACTGCTTTCCTTGTACGAAATCCGCGCCAAATTGAGGGAGCAAGATAACATCGGCTTAATCAAGGCGCGCGAGAAGATCAATGCTCTCGCCGCGAAACAGCAGACCCAGGTGGCCGCTGAACACAAGTACGACCGAAAAGAAATCAACCGGCTAAGCTACCCAAAGTGAACACGACACAGCGAGGCTGAATACCCCCCAAATTTAAAATGACCAATTACATTATGATCATCAATCATTGGCGTTACAAAGGATCGAGCGGACGATGGGAAGCGGACAAGAAAACACAGACGAGCGAGGGTGCTCCTGGGATAAAACGGCGTATGAACTGGCTAAACACTACAGAGTTGTGTGCATTAACGATTTGCTACTGGCCCGGCTACTATGATTCGGAATATGACTACGGTTATGGGTGGATTTTGATTGATGGGTTTTAATGCTAATAACGGTAAAATGGCACGGAATATATGATCTATCGCTCTACGGCGTTTCTCTAAATCTATCACGATGCTGCCTTGTTTTATTCTACGTGTTCGCCGATGACCCTAAAGACATCGGACTTAAGAGAGTATACCAATTCCTTAGAATAGGGGTGACTTCAATAGTTGATGAGGTGAGCCTTTTTATCAAGCGGGCAGTAGGATTAACTGTATATCATGAAAATCAATGTCCGTTCTTTGGAAATGATGATGATATGTTAGGATGATCTCAGTTGATCATGACAAGTCGCTCATCTGCGTCATAGGAGTGAAGACTTGGCTATTTTTGGCGCTGGTGGGTTACAGCTTTAATACACTACTATTACCAGATTACATAGTAGGTAGTACAACAACTAATATCGATCTTGATTCTCGCTTCTCGGGTCCTGCTATTTTAGTTGTTGATAAGAAACTCGCTTCCGAGATAAAAGGAGCCAATAAGTGTGTCTGTATTAAAACTCAAGTACCGACATGTACGTATTTGCGCTTCTAGAAAAAAAGGTTAAATTGGCCAATTAGCTTTAGGGTAAAGGACCGTTGAGGCAGGTGGGTGGGTGCTGGATTAAGGGTTTTTAATGGCTTATATGCACTAAGGCTATAGCTATAACGGGTGTTAAGATACCCATGACGAGCGTTCGAAAAATACAGGTTTAAGCAAGTTACGTACTTGTATACCTTAGAGGAATGTATTAAGGGTTATATACATAGAAAAGTTAAAATACACTGGTTTTTTGTTACATCTTATGTAGTTTACATAGAGTTTTAAAACAAGTAGTTATAAGTATTTGAATAGTTATAACTTAGTGCAACCTTTGGGCACTTATTGATATTGCCAGGAATTTAGCTGCTAGAGAGTGGAATGATATTAGTATTTTTAGGCGAGCATCTACAGGTCTCACAACGTTTCGAATTGTTACTGGCAGCTGTCCGCAGCCGAGAAAGCTGTTAGCGCGTAAATTGATAGTTAGCACTGCTAGGCCTAAGCACTGCACTGCCGCGCAGGCTTTCAAATCCCTTGACCCGATCAGTGAAACGCTAGAGCCAAGACCAGCCATACGGCGTTTTCCCCAGACGTCATTTTTTAGTCCTGCATTCAATTCTTCCATCTTTATTTCCCGTACTAACACCTGAACAGAAGACGCTTCGCAAATAGACGCCTCGCAAATAGACGCCTCGCAGTTGCAGCCACCAGCAGCGCACCATGGCAAGCAGCGTAGACGCGAAGCTCTTACGAGCGACAAAGTTCCCTCCCGAATTCAATCAGAAGGTTGACATGCAAAAGGTCAATCTCCAGGTCATGAAGAAGTTCGTCTCCCAAACCACGCGTACTTGAGCAACCCAACAGCTAACCATGATTTTATCAGATGGATCGCCAGCAAGATATCCGAGATATTAGGATCCGAAGATGATGTCGTCACTGAGCTGTGCTTTAACTTAATCGAAGGTTCCCGATATGTAGGTGCACTTATGCTGCAAGGCTAGCATCGTTGACCTTGCTGACATTGGATACCGTAGCCTGATATTAAATCCATGCAAATCCAGCTTACCGGATTCCTCGATAAAGATACCGCACCCTTCTGTAAAGATCTTTGGAACCTCTGCTTGAGCGCCCAGTCCAGCCCCCAGGGCGTCCCCAAGGAGCTTCTGGAAGCAAAGAAGCTAGAACTCATTCAGGAGAAGGTACTATTTTTATCCCATACTCAGTAAATTTAGGGTGTACTAACTGTTATTAGATCGATGCAGACAAGGCTGCTGAAGAATCACGAATTCGACGGGAGACCCAGGAGCGTCGCGACCGTGAGTTATCAGATGTACGAGATCGAGAGCGACGCGACCGTGGTTTTCGTGGTGGGCGGGGCGATAATTGGCGTGGTGGAAGACGTGGTGGTGGTGATCGAGCCTTTGGCGGTGGTCGCGGTAGAGGCTTTGGCCGAGGCGGTGACCGATCCCCCTCACCACCGCGACGAGAGCGGGACTCATATCATAACAATCGTGATCGTTATGTACCCCCAAGCCGCCGTGGAAGCAGGCAAGAGGTTCGACGTGGACGCTCCGTATCCCGTTCCGCGAGTCCCGAGTCCAGAGGCTCTGTGTCTCGTTCCCGATCATCTAGCACGACTAGCGGACGTAGCCGGCGAGTTAGTCACCGATCACCTACCCCACCTCGTCACCGTTCTAGGGGGCGTCGATCGCCACCTCGCCATAGAGCTTCAGGAAAGCGAGATCGGTCTACAGGGCGAACGAGAGGTTATAGACCCCGTAGAGACGGTCGCAGAAGAAACACATCTTCGCCGGCAAGCGCCAGTAGATCCGGTGGTAGTCGATCTCGCTCGCCAGCACCTAAGAGGCGTAGATACTCGGACTCGCTTAGTCGCTCGAGGTCTCCCCCACGCCGCGACAGTCGACGGCTAAGTCGTTCTCGCTCATCCTCCTACTCGCGATCACGCAGTCGCAGCCCGAGACGAAGACCGGTCCGGGAACTTATCAGCCGTAGTCCCTCACCTAGCCACCGTGGGAGGCTAAGGCGAACCCTAACGCGAAGTCCAAGCAAATCAGGGTCTGATGATGAGACTAGGCGACCACGGCGGAGAAGCCCACGAAGAAACGGACAGGATAGCAAAGCTAGAGACATCCCTTCGAGAAGGCGGAAAGACTCTGCCGATTCCCCTCGCACCCGTAACAGATCAGCTGATGTTTCGGAAGATGAAGACAAACCCAGATCCCCTAGACACCGCGCGGCCTCGACAGCCGATGAGGTTCGTCCTTCTCCTTAGGGAGTTCGTATCACATTATACATTTAGACCGAGAACTGACTCTCGTATTCTTCAGACCAAGTCCCCAGTACAGCAGGCCAATGAGCTACGAGAAAAGCTTCTGAAGGAGCGCATAAAGAAGATGAGAAGCACCTCAAGTAGAGATAACGTCAAGGGGTCAGGCTAATCTTCTCAGACTCGCAGGATTTGCAGACTCGGTCATCTTAAGAGACTTGATAACCCGTGGATGTTGGGTTCAGCTGTTTTTTATTTTCGTAATTGGCTTTCGAGGTTAGTCACAAAAATGCTTTGCGTTTGAGCTCATGAAGTACGGCTATCATGTAGCAGATAGATGATCAGACAATAGACTTGCTACCAAACCCCGATTTAGATTCCGTGCATACCATTATCTCCGCTATTAAGAGGGCAGCATTATATCCTAGTCTGGTTCGTTGATTTGGCGGTGGTATATTTAAACATTGCTAATGTAATAGTTGCAGACTTTGTTATCATATTGGCTTCCAGGTAAGTTGGATGGAATAAATACCCAACACAAGTTGACATATAAGTTGCTACATAAACTCGGTAAGTTATCTCTACTGTCGTATGGGATAGCGTAGGGGAAAATATAAGTCTCTAAGCCAAGGGAAGTATATTAAGAGCAGAAATCTCGAAAGCAATCACCTTTTCCCTGCTTCGTACGTATACCAACATGACCACATCAAGAAATACTTTACGAATAAATAACTACACGAGACATCTTGTTACTACATATCAAATGTATTTAACCCGTATGTTATTAGTTATTAGATTATAAAAAACAATATGTTACAGAATCTATTTTCAATTATCATTCTAAGATGATAAGTTCTCTGATATGTATAGCTTGTTACCTGTGCTATGCACATGGTGTTTGGGTACAAGATACTTAGGTACCTCGATAAGTGTAATAGTGGGGACATATGTGCCAATGCAGGCTGCAGCCCCGGATGTCCACTAGCCTAACTAGGTAAGGATGATAGACTAGTGACGCAGTGGTCCGTTGCTAACCTAAACAAAAAGGAGTTAAACTCTTATGGGAATAGTCTATAACCAAGTGGGGAGGCTGAGTGCTCAGGCCAATACGCGTTCTCGAATGACAGAAGATTAAAGATCCAAAGTTCAACCTTTTGTAACTCAACCCTCTCCATTTCAACGGCGTCGCCAACCCAAGATCGCAATGACCGAAAATGTCCAACCCGGTACCGGCGGAGCTGTCAATGGCGACCGGCAGGCCGCCCTCGCGGAGTACAACAAGCAGCGGCAGAATCTCAAGGAGCTTCTAGGTAAGCGGAAACAGCAAGAGCGCCAGCTGGTGAGTCGCTTTGGGTTTACCGGCACTGTTTGAGGGGGGACGGTGGCTAAAGTTGGTATGACAGGCACAACTAGAGCAGAGTATCGTCGATCTCGAGGCCAAATACTTAAGCAATACCCGCTTCGGTAACATCGTCAAGGGCTTCGATAATTACATCAAGGGGACTAGTTCTGCTGCTCAGCGCAAGCAAGGAGAGCTGAAGGACGAGGATTATATCTGGTCGCGATCTTCGATTTCCTACAATAGCCTTCACGTACGTCTTTGCCATCTCTCGCGCGCCTACTTCCGTCCCACTTACGCTTCGATCTAATTCATTCTAACATTCTTACGTCCTTCTAGCCCGATAATACCGAAGCCCCCTCCGCAACGTCAACACCAGCCGCGCCGACCCCCGTCTCTACAACATTTGCAAACAGGGAGAAGGACAGTGGATCGAACCAGCCGACGCCTACGTCCGCGACCGCGACCGAGAAGGGCTCTGGAAAAGCTGGTAAGACCGGCAAGAAGAGAACCCAGAAGAAGGACAAGGATGCGGATGTAGAGGACAGCGAGACCGACTCCCGCGAAGCTAAGAAAGTCCGGACACACTTTGGCGCCTCACGAAAATGATGTCTGTGCCCTTCCGTTGCGGCATAGGTGTGTTGCAAGATTAACATGTTTGGCATTGAACATTATCTAGTGTGGTTTCGGCGTTCATGAGGGATAGGCATAAGGCTAGTTTGACGGCGTTGGTTTATTAGGAAGCACGTTTATTGGGAATGTAGCAAAAAACATGTTCACGCGCTTTTTTAAGAGATGGGATTTACGGTTCGCGCCGTTATATTTTCCGTCTTCCGTCGAGATACCCGACAGTGTCTAGGTTTGCGAATAGTAGACCGAGGTTGAATTTACGTCGAGACAATGGTATGATGTTGATATTAGTGTCTCTGTGTATAGTTGCGAAGATACAGACTTGTAGAAGTAGACTTGTTTATAACCCAAAGAGAAAATAGACCTGAATAACAAGACTTAAAGACGGTTTATGAATCACGCAATACTATGCAATACTATGCAATACTATGCAATACTATGCAATACTATGCAATTAAAGAGTACTCGTTCCTACGTGCGGGGGAAGGTCGAAAGTCGAACAAATAATTATTATTATTAGTTTGGGTATCTCCATAACTAAGGCTAAGGTCCTACCCACTAACACTTTGTAAGTGCCAATCATAACAAACACCTTGATGAACCAGAGCCCAAGTACGAAATACATATTGTGATGATTTGTCGAATGTCTTGTGCTTGAAAGTAACTTTAACTTATTCCACCTGCAGCTTGCAGGTTTTTATATATTGAAATAATCCCCCGCTCTAAGTCATCGTCCGAGACTCTCATCCAAGATGACGGTTATGGCTACCAAATTCACCCCTGAGGTGCTTCTCTCTGCCCCTCGTCGTAGTTCCGCCGTGCCTAACAGCACCGGCACCCTCGCTCTATTTGCTGGTATATCCCTAACTACCTAACTACACAAGTCCTAATCATACAATAGAGTTAATACATTCTTAGTCTCTCAATACTCTTTCGAGACTCACTCCAAGGACTATGCCATCAAGGTCTTAGATATCAAATCTCACCAGTCGACTCAGTTATTTGACAACTCGACTTTAACCGAGCCGACATGGATTTCCGAGACTGAATTCATTTTCATAAAGAATGATGACAACAAGACGTCTCTCCTTGTAGCAGATGCAACTCAGCCCGGTTCAGAGTAAATATTCATTCTTATATAAGTCTCTATAGTTACTAGTAATACTATACTCACAAGTGCACTTAGACCATATGAGGTTGCCATCTTCAACACCTCGATATCTAATATCAAGGCGAAGGATATCGGTAACGGTACAGTAGCATTCGCCGCCACGGCTCCCACTACATCATCAGGAAAGCTATTGAACTCGGAAGATGAGAAGAAGCCCCTATCATCAGGCAAAGTTTATACCAGTCTATTTGTACGACACTGGGACTCGTACGTCTCTAAACACAGGCAGGGGCTCTTCTACGGAGCACTGAAGAAAGAGGGAAAATACTGGAGCTTACGGGGTCGAAACCTAATAAATGCTCTAGCAGGCACAAAGCTTGAGTGTCCGGTACCGCCTTTCGGAGATTCCAGCGATTATGATATCGGCAAGGAGGGAATAGTCTTCGTGTCTAAGGACCCGGAGTTGAATCCTGCGTTGTGGACTAAGACCGACCTCTACTACGTACCGCTCAAGACTTTCACCGAGGCAAACCCCCCTCGACCCCAAGTCGTTAAGACAGGAGCGCTACAAGGCTACGCGGGTGTTCCGGTGTTCTCGCACGATGGTACCAAAGTAGTATTCAAGCGTATGAGGAATCGACAGTACGAGTCTGACAAGTGGCGTCTATTACTGATCCCCGACATCAAAGACCTAAGCAACGTGCAGGAGTTTTACAAGACGGAAGACGGCGAGGGTGGCTGGGACCTACGACCGGAAGGCATTGTATGGAGCAACGACGACAAGGAGCTCTACGTGACAGCCGAAAAAGAGGGCCGACAGATCCTATTCAAACTCCCTTCGAGCCCCCTCGAGGCCAAGGAGCTACCGCAACCCTTGACCAAGGACGGGGCAGTAACCGACTTCCACAACCTATCCCAGAGCGACGGAAGTCTCTTCCTCACATCCAACTCGCTCATCGACAACTCCTCCTACTCCATCATCGACCCCGAGTCCAAAGACCTAGGCCTCATCTCATCGAGCTCCAAGGAAGGGAAATCGTTCGGCCTGACGAAGAGCCAAGTCGACGAGTTCTGGTTTAAGGGCGCGGGCGACTACCAGGTCCACGCCTTGGTCGTGAAGCCGTCCAACTTCGACCCTAGCAAGAAGTACCCGTTGGCGTTCCTTATCCACGGAGGACCGCAGGGCGCTTGGGGACAGAGCTGGAGCACGAGGTGGAATCCTGCCGTGTTCGCGGAGCAGGGCTACGTTGCCGTTATGCCGAATCCGACGGGCAGTACTGGGTACGGACAGAAGTTCACTGATGGGATTACGCAGGATTGGGGTGGACGGCCGTATAACGATCGTGAGTACAAGTTTCCAACTTCATACAGAAGTCGTCTTAGATATGTCTACCTTGGAGAACATGCAACTAACTAAGGACGCTGGCTATAGTGGTAAACTGCTTCGAGCACATCTCTGATAACATCCCGTACATCGACACGAACAACGCCGTAGCCCTAGGCGCCTCATACGGCGGGTACATGATCAGTAAGCCCCCCCCCAAATCTTCTTTTTCTCACAATACTAACCTCCCTCCCTCCCTCCAACCCAGATTGGATCCAAGGCCACCCCCTAGGCCGAAAATTCAAAGCCCTAGTATGCCACGACGGCATCTTCAGCACCATGAGCAACTGGTCGACAGAAGAGCTCTTCTTCCCATCCCACGACTTCGGCGGCACCCTCTGGGAGAACCGCGACGGCTACGCCCGCTGGGACCCCGCTGCGTCCGCGGCGAACTGGGCTACCCCCCAGCTCGTCATACACTCGGAGCTCGATTACCGGTTGCCGATTTCGGAGGGGCTGGCTGCTTTTAATAGTGCGTGTTAACTCTTTACTACCTTACGAAGGAGGGTTGGGAGGATGTATTAGTAAAGTATGCTAACGTACATAATTGTGTGAATAGCCCTCCAGACACGCGGCGTGCCGAGTCGGATTTTGATATTCCCTGATGAGAACCACGTAAGTCTTTTCCCCTGGGCACTTATAATCGGGATACTATATAGTATATACATCCCACGTAACAAAGCGATTACTAACTACTGCTGTAAACCAGTGGGTGTTGAAACCCGAGAACTCGCTTGTCTGGCATAAGGAAGTCCTGGGTTGGATTAACAAGTGGACTGGCCTGGACACTACAGGGCTGGCTAGTGACACGGAGGATCTCGGTATCTGATGAGTTATTTTGGCACGTATCATTGTATCATGATAAAATTGGTAATCCGATAGAGCAAAATAGCTAAGTAGTAAGAAACAAAATTGTGCAAATGTTTTTTTCTATCATGGGCATCTAACTCCTAGGGCGATTATCTAGTAGCTAACTAACGACAGTGAGGGGTTTTTAAATGACTATAAGATCTATGATCGACCGAATAGCACAGCTACATCTGGATAAGCTTATAGCAAATCTTGACTACATCGCCGCAGTTCTGGACCTTTTACTCGACACAGACGTGCCAAACCCCCTACTCAGCCTCTAGGAGGCCAAACAACTCCTTTCCATTAATTCTACGCATTATGATCTTGACATGGTCCCAACGCAACTTACTAATATCAACGAAAATCATCACAGCCATCTTATTACTCGTCTCCGCGCGCTGAAGTGGTTCAACTAGGTCGGGGTATTCCTGCTGCAGTTTCATCTGGATATACCAGGCGGCCTTGCGGTCTATCTTTTTGAGATACTGTCTGATGAATTTGGTCTCGCTCTTCGGGCGCTTGATGCGGTATGAGTTGCTAAAGTGGTTGTACTGCTCGAGCATCTGGACCGCTTTTAGGGGTGGTTGTGGTCCTGATGACGGGGGGTTGGAGAGATGGTTGAAACTGGCTTCGTTTACGGCTCCTTGTAGGAAGGATTCTTAGATAGTCAGGTTAGCGGCTAGACAGATACCTCTATAGTGAGTTCTTACCAGACGATACCGCTTGGGAATTCGCTTCGTGGAGCTTCTCGAGAAACTGGAAGAAGTCCTCCTGTTTAGGAACGAAAGTGTCCAGAAAGTTACGGACCCGGCCTTGATTGCTGATAGCCTCTGCCAACGCCTCCTTTTCCTCGAGGGTGAGCGTAGAGACTTTGTCGATCTTGTCGTACATGGATTTCACCATGGGTTCTAGGCGAGCTAGAGTGTCGTTCAGTGTAGCGATATCCTGAGGCTTAGGTAGCTTTGAACGAAAATCCTCAAGGGCACTCTCGACGGTGGATAGTTGCTCTTGATGGCGATCAATCTGTTTGTTCAAAGTCTTGATGTCCTTCCCAAACCTGGCATTGTCCGCGGTCAATTTAAAATATTCGTCACTAACCTTTGTGCGGAGGCTCTCAAGGCTGTCTTTAGTATTCTGAGTAGTCGCATCTGCTTCAGATATAAGTGAACGAAGTCCTTCTTTATCCTTTCGAAGTTCGTCTAGTTGCTTTTCGATGCCTTCATTACGACCACCTTCTGCGACATTGGCTTCCTGGAGCTTGCAGAACCTTTCTTCGACCAATTCTAATTGCCTCTTAGCTTCGTAGACTTCCTTTACTGTAAGTGCTTGTAGAAGTCTCAAGGCGTTCAATTGGTTTCCGGGCTGCTGAAGCTTATCCTCGAGCCTAGCAATACTGACAAGCTTCTGCGTTTCTTCTTCGGTACGCATATTGTTGTGGTATGAGATCGATACAGGGTGTACTATAGAAGAGCAATCTGAAAGGCTATGTATTGGTAAGACAGTCGTAATGAGTAAGATAACCTGCAAACCTTGGACCGCTATGGTAGGGCGTCCTGGTCAGCTATGCAAGTGCAGCTACACCCACTGCTACTAGAAAACGATAGTAGTTCCGAGGTGGAATACACATGTGAGGTCTTATAGTAGAATCTGAGTGCGTCATTGGCATTCTGGATGAATGATCACAGCATGAGTAATTATATGACTAAGAGCGTTGAAAGAAATAAGAGAATAAGAGATTGGAAGGAAATAGGAAAGTTTGTGTCGGTTTAACCAAGGAAGGGTCTTAGCTAATGGTTGTGGTTTCTAGGAAAGCACGTTATATAAACCTCATTGCCTCCTCCTTCCTCGAATATTAACCACACTCGGCAATACACTTATCGACATATGTACTTACCTATAAACGCAGATAATTAAGAAATTTATGTAGATAATCGTCTTGATAATGAGTTAACTACAAGCTTAATATGTCAAGGTAGGTAGGGGGTAATACGAAACCCTACTCTCAATCTACTCTCAATCAACGACTCGACAGGTTCACGACATCTATTGCAAAACAGTTTAACTGGCAAATTCAGAACGTTTATTTAGGAAAGCATCAGCGACCTAGGTACATAACAACGCGGAAATAAGCAATAGCCTGGTCCATGACAGCCTCCCACCGTCAGGCAATATGCATTACCAGTATTAGGTGCTAGATGCCTAGCCGCAAATGCCTAGATGCTTCTTTTCCCTCCTGTACCGACCACGGCTCATCCCTGAGACGTGCTAATAGAAAAATGAAAGATGCTAGATGAGAGCATCATCGCCACCCCACCCATGTATTCTACGGGACCTCTTGGTCAACCCTCGAACCGCGCATCATTCTGTCTCCACCCTGAATGTTAGACAGACTAGCCTTGTTGAGTATGAATAAGAATACGTTGCTTAGATGAGGTCGGCCACGTTCATCGGCATCTCCTCGATCTGGGTGCTGTAGAACTGCTCGATCTCACGCATCATTCGGACGTCCTCAGCGGTAACGAAGTTGATGGCAACACCCTTTCGGCCGAATCGACCACCACGACCGATACGGTGGATGTAGTTCTCACGGTTAGCAGGCAGATCGTAGTTGATGACTAGAGACACCTGCTGGACGTCGATACCACGGGCCAAAAGATCAGTGGCGATCAGAACACGAGAAGAACCGGATCGGAACTCCTTCATAATTAGGTCACGCTGGGCCTGGTCCATGTCACCGTGCATAGCTGACACAGTGAAGTCACGGGCAGTGAGCTTATCAGTAAGCCAGTCAACCTTTCTACGGGTGTTACAGAAGATAACGGCCTGCGTGATGGTGACGGTCTCGTAGAGATCGGAGAGAGTGTCGAGCTTCCACTCCTCCTTCTCGACAGCAATGTAGAATTGCTTGATACCCTCAAGGGTAAGCTCGTCCTTCTTGACGAGAATGCGGACGGGGTCTCGCATGAACTTGGTCGTGACCTCAAGGACATCTTGGGGCATGGTGGCGGACAGAAGAACGACCTGGGTGGACTGAGGAAGGAGTTGGAAGATATCGTAGATTTGCTCGGTGAAACCACGCTATACGATAATTATTAGCGTCGTTGGGTAGATAAAGAGGGGAAAACGGCGGTACTCACAGAAAGCATCTCATCAGCCTCGTCAAGAACGAACATCTTCATGCCGTCAGTCTTGAGGAATCGTCGCTGAATCATATCCTGGACACGGCCGGGAGTGCCGACAACGACCTGGGGGCCTTCCTGAAGGGCCTTCATGTCATCACGGACGCTAGTTCCGCCGATACAAGCATGGCACTCAATGCTCATGAAGTCGCCAATAGCGACAACGACCTTCTGGATCTGTTGAGCCAGCTCACGGGTAGGAGCCAGAATGAGCGCCTGGCACTGCTTGACGTTCGGGTCGATCTTCTGGAGAACGGAGATAGAGAAAGTAGCGGTCTTGCCAGTACCAGACTGGGCCTGCGCAATTACATCGTGACCTATCGCGGGAATTGGGTTAATATTTTGCGCATATAATATTAAAGTAGAAATATAGAGGTGGAAACATACCCTTGATGACCGGCATAATCGCGCGCTGCTGAATAGCAGAAGGACGCTCGAATCCATAAGCATAGACACCTTTGAAACATTGTTAGTTCACCGCAAATTTTTTTGTGGTCTCAAAGTTGGCGTTTCTTACCTCGTAGCAACTCGGGCTTGAGGTTCATCTCATCGAAGGAGTCGACAGTCTCGTCATAGTTAGACTCGATCTGGGATTGCTCGATATCCTCGAGCCCCTTGTCGGTAGCCATGATTGTAGATGTATCGACGCGACTTCTCGAATTCCAAGCACAGCTTAGAATTCAAGAGTTGGTTGGGAGCGACGATCTTGGTGGGGTCAAGTAAGAAATGGGCGCACGAACTTTGCACTTTGGCAAGTCGTCCCTCGTAGAAATTAAATACGTAAAAAGAAGTGGACGTGAATGCTCTCGTTAATAGAGAGCGATAAAGTCCAGCTGCTGATATTTCTTTTCGTTGTGGTTGTTGATTTAATCTGTGACGATTTGGAAAAATCGAAGGTGGGAGGAAAAGCCCAAGATCAATGAGGTAGATGTAAAGAGGTAAGTAAAAAAAAATTTGAGTGGGGGTAAACGTCGGCCAAACCCTGATGCGGGGCTCTAGCTCGGAATGGTTACCTTGGAAGGTTCTACGTAGCGGCAAGCGGCGTGATTTCCCAGACTTTTCCAAAATTTTTATTTGATTTTTGATTTTTGATTTTTTTAACCTTACGATGTTAAGATAATACAGCACCTGAGGCTCCACAAAACTGAAGGTTGCAAGTCCCAAAAAAAACCTAAGGTTGGAGCAACTTTGCATGGAGAATACAAGTATTGATGACACACGAACTCTTGTGACTCATTGAAACCGAATTGGTATTATCTTGTGGCAAAGCGTTCCGATCATCAAAGTTATTACAAGCCTTCTTTCATAAAGAACTTTGCCTAAACGGGCAGTTCACATATCACTTCCAGTGACTATGCTACTAGCAGAAGGGACCAGTCGAGGAGGTGTTAGTGGGAGTGCACCAACAAATGGAGGCGAATTACACATGCCAACTGCTGGGATACCGTCAGATTTTATTCCAGTTCATCCAATGGGCGTCAAACCACTTGGGAACCGATACTTCGCATCTGGTCCAACGGCTCGGCAGTCTCTCGGTTTATTAGCTAGACTTCCGGATGAGATGATATTGCAGATACTCGAATATTTTGATATCGAGACACTGAAAGACGTCGGGTTTACTTGTCGTTTTCTTTATGCTTTTTGTCACCTCGACGAACTTTGGAAAGCATTATTTCTCGAGTAAGTCATAAGCTATGACATGTGAACCCAGACAGTCATCAATAGCCCCTTGATGGAATCCATCTACTTTAGTGCCATCTCACTGATTTGCCTATGAAATATGAAGGACTGGCTCCCAGCCGCTCGCCTGGCAAGGTTCATGGAGAGGCACGCTTCTAAAAGCTCCCACTGGATGGCGCCCTAGGATTGACTGTAGCAATGTCTTTTCCGATGTCATTCATAGGCCATTCGCTTGCACCTACATTGCTCTTGGGAAATATATATCCAGTATTCCTCGGGCAAATCAAATCAGCAGGTTGCAGCAACTCGGCTACGATGATTTCGCGCAGAACTGGAGCGGTAAGCCATTCATATTGACAGATTGCATTCAACGCTGGCCGGTATGCGGTGACTGGAACATCCAGGAGCTAAATAGGGGATATTCGGCCGTCGAGTTCCGCGCAGAAGCTGTGGACTGGCCATTCTCGGTTTATCATGAATACATGTCTAATAACGAGGATGAAAGTCCGTTATACCTATTCGATAAGGGCTTCGCGGAGAAGATGAATATTCAGATCGGGCATGTTACAGATGCGGCATACTGGCCCCCTGAGTGTTTTGGCCCGGACTTATTCGAGTTGCTTGGAGAAGAAAGACCAGCTCATCGATGGCTCATTATCGGACCTAAGCGTAGCGGTTCGACTTTTCACAAGGATCCGAACGCCACCAGCGCCTGGAATGCTGTTTTGGAAGGATCGAAATACTGGATTAGTACGTACACCCTAAGGGTTGTTTCAAACCCTTTCTCTTGCCCTTACGTTGGAACACGGTTTTATCTCTTTGAGTTAGTTAGCGAGACCTCGCTGCTTTGTATTTATTTATTGAACCTTTCATGAACGGCAGAGACTGACTGTTGTTCCCCAGTGTTTCCACCAACAGCGCAGGTTCCCGGCGTCTACGTTTCAGAGGATAGCAGTGAAGTCACTAGCCCGCTGAGCATAGCTGAGTGGTTACTCGAGTTCCATACGGAAGCACGTGCGGTACCGGGCTGCGTGGAAGGCGTTTGCAAAGCGGGAGAGATTTTACACGTGCCTAGCGGCTGGTGGCATTTGGTTGTGAACCTTGAGGCTGGTATAGCCCTCACTCAAAACTTCGTGCCTAAGTCACACCTAGCAGATGTTCTCTCTTTTCTTAGAGACAAGCCAGACCAAGTGACCGGCTTCAAAAGTAACATTGAAAGCCCATATGACCTCTTCGTAGAGCGGCTTAAGACCGATTACCCTAAACTTCTTGACGATGCTCTTGACGAGCTAGAACGGAGGAGTTTGACAAAGAAAAGAAAATGGGAGGAGGCTATCGGGAAGAAGAGTGACGATGAGAATGGTGATGGTGGTTTCAGCTTCGGCTTTGGAGGTGACTCCGACGAGGAGATACCTTAGAATAGACGATGAAATAAGATGTTTAAAACCCCCCGTTTTAAAACTCCTCACTAGACGTGGGGGTATCACAAGAGCTACATATGTATGTCGGCGTTTCTGACCCTTGGATGATAAGGCCGCATTCATCCCCGGTCAGCTTTTCCTCTCACAGTAAAAGCGGCTGAGGGGCACTGGAAAGAATGTTGGTGGCTTGCGCCCTGTATGTAAACCTTTCTCCGGTGTATTGTACGCTCTGTTTCCGGAATAGGCACAGCAGTTTATATCAAGCAGGACAAGCTGGTACCTATACCGCCTTATTTTCGCCGAGTCTTACTGGGCGGTGTTCTGTCATGTCTAAAAATGTTGGCCTAAAATAAAATCTTATGACTTAGAAGTTGGTCGAATAGGTATTTAGATATTGTATTTCGGTGTAAGTGCATTCGCTTGTAATAACTACATGCGTGCTACCTGCCTACCTCGCGATATATCGTACTAGAAACTACCTAGTAGCATAGGTATATAATGTATCTACGAAGTCTAGGTAAGTGGAAGTCTAGGTAAGTGGTACGGAGCGTCTGAGACAAAGCCCGGCCCCCGAGTAGAACTTTGAGTTATTAATAGTACCTTGCACTGCAGTATATGTACTTGGCGGGGCTGTCTTCCAATAGCTTACAGGTAGGTACATTTACCGCCTCGCGTGGTAGCTTACAACCTTACCCAAGTACCTAAGGTACCTACCTCATAATAGGGTAATGGTTTGGCGGTCGTTAATATTACCTAGCTGAGCCCCCCCACATTGATTGCATCAAGCCGTCCAGACAAGTCCATAGCACCTACCTACCTGTAACTTTACTGGATTCCCACGTCTCTCCTGCCAGCCTGCGAAGCCTCCCTGTTTCCGCGACACGTAGGTGCAACTTTGGTGCAACTTCGAGGCAACCAGCCAATCTTGGGAGCTACATCCCAAGAAGGCTTTCCGCTTCTGATCGTATATCGTACACATCGTACACATCGTACACCGTACACATTCGTTCCACCACCTGCTTTTGCCCAGAGCTTTTATTTTCCACGACTTTATTTTTGTTTCTTCAACACGAGTCTCGTCTCACGGCATCTGCAGAATGCGAATAGTCGCTTATTCTCTGTGGCACCCATCTTTTAGTTAACACTCCGCCCTTTTTTTCGCGTTCCTTGCGCCTATCTCCTCCCCTCTTACCTACCTCACATATACGCTATCGGGGAATCTATAGCTTATTCTATACTTTATTTCTTACTTTCTAATACGCCAGCCCGCCTTGCTTACGCTTTGACGTTCGCCGGCCGAACCGTATCCCCTGAGGGCCGACGCTACTCGATATATTCTATCAACGTCCACCCGGGCCGCGTCAACTTACCCCCTTACTTAGTTGCTTACCTCTGAGCATCTACACACATCACCCGCCTCCTCTACATCGCTTAACCATGGTTTCCGACGAGACGTTCGAGATATGCCTTCCTGTCCTGCAGGACCCGAGCCTCGACGACGATGACAAGACAGACAAGATCGAAGAGCTTCTGAAAAATGAGACCCCCCTGAACGGCTCGTCCCTAGAGAATGCAGTGCTCGACGTGCTATGGCGATACCGCGAGGGGGGAGGAAGTGCGACCTCACCTCCCCCGATACGACAAACCATCCTTCGCCGGCCTTCTCCAGCCTCGTGGCGGGGTTCGTCGACTCCTTTGTCAGGCTCTCCTCGGTTAGGAGTGAGCCCCCTGGCCCCGCCAGGCTTTGTTCCGACAAGCCTCAGCCGGACCAAGTCCTCTACTGTATCGCCCTTCTCATCTCCGCGTCCATCTCCGCGACTCGCGTTCTCGGCGCCGATAATACCCCACAGCCCGAATCTAAATGCTTACGAATTTGCGAATGATACGAGTCCCTCTCAAGAAATATTTGGTGACCTGCAGACTGAAAATGTTGACTGGTTAGTGAGTGATGATGCACTCAGTATTGCTTCCTCGGTGGGCACATCCAGTGGCCTCAACGCTGCAGCCCCTGAATACGTGTCTGCCCAGCAGACGGATATGACACCATATGATATGCTACGCTCGATTCTCGGGCAATCCAAGACCGACGAAGAGATCGAGTTAGCTCTTTCTATGCATGGCTACGATCTTAGTGCTACTATTGCATCTATAATGGAGTCTCAGAGCCAAGACTCAACGAATGTTGCAGGACTTACTCCTGAATCGAAGAGTGTACTAATCGGCAAATCTATGACACCAGATGGGAGGCCTACAACCCCATCAGCTCAGGGGAAAGCTGGCATCATCTGCAAATTCTACTTATCTACTGGCCAATGCCTCCGGGCAGACTGTCGATTCAGTCATGATCTCAGCAATCATCTTTGCAAGTGAGTTTAGCTTACTGCCCCTACCCCCTACTGTCCCTTTCCATATATTAACTCTCTAGGTATTGGGTTACGGGCAACTGCTTGGCCGGGGACACGTGCATTTTCTCCCATGACCCAGCCCACCTCATAAACCGCCTCAACGTGGATGAAAATGGTACACCGCAGAAAAGCCAGAATCTACAGGTTCAGGATTTTAGCTCATTCCCGTCTCTACGGCCAGGCACTCCAGAATTGAATCCTTATGCTGCTAGTTTTAACTACCCAGCTTCTGGAGTAACACCCCCACCCGGTTTGAAACCGTACGGGGGTAATGATAATTCTCGCCCTCGCTCGCGGCCTGGGAGTCGGCATCAGGCGAAAGAAGGCATGAGTGCACCGTCAATAGACGATAACGACGCATTTCCCTCTCTTGGGTCCGCTTCTGCTAAACCTAACAAAAAACACCATGGTAAGCGTGGTGGGCACGGCCATGGTCATAAAGAGAACTTCACTCCAAGCTCTCTTGCTGATATCGTAAAAATGTCGCCATCTCCTGGACCTGGATCCAGTTCCGGGTCTAGCCGACAGGAATCGAAGAAACTTGGCCGCAATGGAAGTGCTACTAATATCAAGAATGGGGAAAACAGTGCTGCTGCTCAGGCTATCTCCATGCCCAAGCACATTCCGTGGCTAGAGACGGGAGATAAGGCAAACAAAGCTTACCTGAAGGCTCGTCAGGAGGCCATAAAGCATGGTGGCCTCCGGAACAAGTTTTTACAGAGGTTCGTCGGTCCTCGATGTGGTTATATGTACCTGATTAGGCTAACTCTAGGTTCAGTGCCGCACAGGCTTGGAACCGCAACGATGCTCGAGCGGCGAAGGCTCTTAGTCTCCGAGGTCAAAGCGAGAATGACCTTATGCGAAAAGCTCACCGAGAAGCTGCGCGAGAGTTATACGAGGAGCGCAACAAGCAAAACTCGCCCAATGCGGAGATCTTTGTAGACCTACACGGCCTCCACCCGGACGAGGCTGTCGAGTATCTCGAGAGAGTTCTCCTAGATAATAGTAAGGAAATTCGACCCGTGTACGCCATTACCGGAACCGGACATCATAGCAAGAACGGGAAAGACAAGGTGGGTAAGGCTATCAGGAACTTCCTTAACGAGTGGAGATACGCGTACCGTGAGTTCTCGGTTCCCGGGGACCGGAACAACATGGGAGGTATTCTTGGGATCGACGCTAGAAGCTGGGACAAGTCTCTTGCAAGAGAGGGCTCGAAGGAGAAAGAGGAATCGAAAGAGGACGTTGACATCCTAAGCCAAGGAGTTGAAATTGGGGATGGAAAGGTTAGGCTCCTCGTCCGCGATCCTCCTAAGGGGCCTAGTAACAGGGGACGGTGACTAGTGGCAGATAATATAGTGAATAAAGCAAGTTGAAATCTTTCTTATATTAGTGTCCCAGTGTCCTTGGCTACCTAATTTAGGGGTCTATGGCTTCTACAATATCTCATATCGAAATGTGACTATTAGCAGGGGTCAGCTACATAATACCATGGCGCGCGGGACGAAGTGAGCTACGGTTCGACGGCCGGATCGACATCCGACGTTAATCGGAGACATGATGTAATTGATGTAGATAAGTACTTTGTGTAAGGTACCTTACTTGATATGTACATGGGTTGCCAAGTCGCGACATCTCCGTGGAGTAGCAGTAGAGGTCTAGGTGTATTTAATACACTAGTACCTATGTACGTGTAAACTCTTCTAAATTGCTTATCTCATGTCCTCTTTAACCTGGGGATTACTAACCGCGCATTTGATCGTGGCTGAGCTTTGAGTTTATGTTAGGCATGTACAACCCACCCACCCTATTTCAGCCCTGTTACATGTATGTACATACCTAATGTCTGCGATGTGAAAGGTACATGATATTGTACCTCGTACCCGACGCATGGTTCCCTTTTCAATTGGTTCCCTTTTTTCTTATTACACTACTAGTGTTCCTTCTTCATTCAGCCCGTTCCTTCATATGTAATGTAATGTAACCTATCTCACTACATACAAAAACGTTATACTGTGGGATTTGAATAGTGGACGCTGCGCTAGGTACCTAGCAACAATCTGTCCCTGACGTCCTTCGGGGGGGGGGCCATCGTTTTCCTCCTGTGTACATACCTACACTTCCCGAATTCAAACTTGAGGTTGTGAATGTTAACTCGTCTACGTCGGCGAATATGGATAGCTAGCTTAGCTAGTGCTGCTTAAAGCTGTCTCGAATTGCTGCTGATATATAAGCCCCGTACGGGATAATCATAACGACAGCCAGCTATATCCCATATATCCCATATCGGTCTTGTGTTTCCAACTATAGCTCGTCTTCCACCTCGACGACATATCTGGTCTAAAGGACAAGTACTTCCGATACGATACGATACGATACGATACGATACGATTTCTATACACAGCTAAACACCGTCGTCAATATGCCTCCCGACCACGAAGCTCAAGAGCCTATGCTCTCCGTCTCACACCCACCCTCACACTCGCCATCTCCCTCTCCCTCTCCCTCCCCGACGCCCCCGTCTCCTCTTCCGCCATGGGTACGCCCGAACTTACAACGGCCTACATCCAACTCGCAGCGCCTCTCAACACCGTACTCCCGCTCCGCAGCCAACAACGACTCCTCCGAGCCCTTCGGCCGCCGCATAATGCGCGCCAGCGTATCCTTCTCCGACAAGATGCTCAAGCTATTCTACAGCATGACCCTCGTCCAACGCATCATCGCCGTGTCCGCCCTGGTCGTCGTCAACGTCCTCCTGATCCTGTTCCTCGTGTACTCGCACCGCATCTTCGCCGCCCTGGCCCCTATCGCTAAGGGTTGGCGCGCGCTGCCTGGTGGGTGGGTGATTGTGTTTCTGATGACGTGCGCGTCGGGATTCCCCCCTATGATCGGGTATAGCACTTGCATCACCATCGCGGGTTTCGTCTACGGGTTCCCCGGTGGCTGGCCCATCGTCGCTAGTGCCACTGTCTTCGGGTCTACCGCCGCGTTCCTCGCCAGCAGGACGATATTCAGCGGATACGTGCACTCGCTAGTCGGCGCGGACAAGCGATTCGTCGCTTTAGGACAAGTCCTCCGCCGAGACGGATTGTTAGTCCTAGCCGCTATCCGCTTCTGCCCGCTGCCGTTCAGTCTCAGCAACGGGTTCCTCGCCACAATCCCCAGCATTTCGCCGTGGCGCTTCGCGCTCGCAACAGCCATGGCTTCCCCCAAGCTTCTCGTGCACGTCTTCATCGGCAGCCGGCTGGCCCTACTCGCCGAGAGCGGCGATACCATGAGCGCAGGCGACAAGGCCATCAATTACCTAAGCATGCTGCTCGGCAGCGCCGTGGGGATTACCCTCAGCCTGTTTATATACCGGCGCACGATGGCGCGTGCCAGAGAACTTGCGCGCGAAGAGGCTGCTGAGAACGGAGTCGCGATAGACGAGGAACTAGACGAGGAGTTGGATCTAGGGTATGGAGACTTAGAAGAGGGAAGACGGCAGCGGGCTGGGGAGGCGGATGAGGCGGCGCTCATGGATGATGACGATATCTCGCTGTGGGAAACGGATGCTGTTGACGGAGGAGGATACAGGGATGAGACGGAGGAGGAAGATGCTGCCGGAAACGGGAATAGAAAGGTTTCCCACGGAGAGCATCGATAGATAGATAGATAGATGGGCATTGTCGACCGTTTGCAAGTTTACCAAGGAATTCGTTCGTGTACGAAATACGGGATACAATAGGCGTCTGGCGAGTTGAGAGCATAAGAAAGGGCGGATCAGTTACAAGTTTGGCATTTTGGAGTGTACGGCATAAGATGGATGGGAATATTGAATCGCATTAGCTAGAAGGGATAGGCGCCTAGGTAGGCAGGCAGGCAGGCCATTTTGATTTTGCTTGTGGAAAAGAATATTATTGTGTTATAAGTCGTATCAAAGCTAGTTTCTCAATTTCCTGCTCTTGAAGGGTATCGTCCGTGCTACTTTCTTCATTCCTAACGCCCGACTGATGCTATCGTAAAAGGTAAAGAAAAGAAAAAGAAAACCCAACGCCTCATACATTACGTTATCATGCCATCAATACTCTGTCAGCCATTCAAAAGCAGTCCAACCCTTCCCTGTGTGTGCGAATTCGCTTGCTTCAAATCAAATACCCCCTGGCTAGGTCTGTTGCTTGAGCCTGCTCGATAATAAACCCGTATGAAACTAAAAAATCAAAATAGTAATAACTCCAACCATGATCCTAGGTATGACCCACGGCAGAGAAGGAAATCACCTCGACCAAAGATATTACTGTTGTCCTTGGAGGCTCTGCATGAGCCGAATCGCATCCTCGATAGGGTATCCAATGAAGACTGGGCCTGTAAATAGCATCTGCGGCTTATTGTCCGACTTGCGGTCCAGCTCAGCCGGGTTAATAAACGTAGGCTGGCGTGGATTGCTGGCTGCAAATCGTGGCTCATGAGCTGGAATAGAAGTTTGACTACTCGACCGGATATCTCCAAACCTAACGGAGTTCTTATCTTCGCGTTTCAGTGGAGAGCCGTTCATCATATCCGTCAGCTTCGTGTGATCGAAGGGACACTTTCCTGTCTTTGCCGGCGTCACTTGAGGAGGCAGCGATGAAGGAATCTGAACGGGCGCTGGCGGAGGGGACTCAGGTCGACCCATCCCTTCGACACCCGGTGGAGTATCGAACACGGGCACTGAGATGCCCCAAGGACGGCTCGGCGATTCACCAACTCGGACCTCCTTAAGAGGTCGGTCGAAGCGGCTTTGCCTGTCCAGATCATCTAGATCATCCTCATGATGTTCTAAAGCAGTATGCTCCGGATCATCCGAGGCCGTCGCGCTCACCGTTTGAGCCCAGGTCACAACACGATCGTTCGAGGTTCTTTCAACCTCGCTCTGAGGTCGTGTGTCCCGTTCAGGCAACATAGGTTGATGGATCCGACTGAGACCTTCAACCATGTTAGCAAGATTGCCATACTTGGCATCTAGCTTCCTAATGTGTTCCTCATTCTTTTGATACCTACGCACACAGATTTCGTGACTCCTTGGCAACTCGTGCTTGTGTGTCTCCAAGTAGTGAGCGATCTCTTCTGGCGAGTGCTGGTCCATGTATCGAATTGGGCATTTGGAAGCAGCAGGCTGTGAGCTTGGATCATCATACATAGTCGCACAGATGGGATCTTCTATATCATGCACCGTTTTACCAGGTATGTTACTAGGCTCCTCATTCTGCTTCTCTTCTCTGGCGGTCTGGGAGAAGGGACAATCTAAGTTGCTCTTCTTTCCCGGGATAGTAAAGTCCTGCTCGAGGATAGTGGAAAGGGTCGTCATTGTGGTAGGAGGAAGACTGTCTCTGCTAGATCGACTGCTCTTGCTAGTAGCTGTTAAGGAAGAAGCAACACGTCTACCTTCCCTAATGATGACGGCAATTTGATGTTTAGAGTCTGAGGTTTTCCTTCTAGGCAAGGGAACAAAACTATTGTTTGCTAGGGATGGATTGTGCAACTCTGGGGGAATCTGAAGATTCAATAGCGTCTCTGAAATCTCAGGCGCCGTCGGAGCATATTTATCGGCTAGATACTGGAACTATCGGAATCGATAAAGTTAGCGACTGAAACCTCGGAAATAATTTTTGTCATTTGTGAACAAAGAGATGTCATTTTCCGTATTATATCAGTAACTTCTAAAATTTTTATTTCGGTCAACACTACCACAAGGGTAGCTCTTGATCTAGAGCTAATTTTTCTCATCATATATAAAGGGCGGAGAAGGAAGAAGGGAGTAAGACGGGATTCATAAGATTGACGGTTGACATACCTGCTCGTGTGCATATCGAAGTTTGTGCTCCAGGACAGTCTGCCTGTCGCTCAAGTTTTGAACTTCATCGGCCAATGCATTAAATGATTCTATTAAGATCTGTACGAGGTTTTGACAATTCATATCCTGGTCCAGCATGGAAGAAATGAAGAAGATTACGAGTGAGCGAGTTAAGAAAGCCGGAGATGTAGTTGGGGTGAAAAGGAAAAGATGCTAAGGTTAACTAGTGGAATGATGAAATGGAGAATGATCCGAATAACGCCGATGGCTAGAACTGGATTTTTTTGTCAGCTCCAATTCCGGATGTGGGGGTACCCTCGTTGCTGTGGTTAGCCTGTTTAATTGCATGGGCCTGCAAGGAACAAAAGGAACAATTCCTTTCCTTCCCAAGATCATTACATCTTCCCATTCAGCAAGAACCGATCACTTAGAAAGTTTATCAATGTAACACGGCATAATGCTTATTACATGTAGGTACCCAGGTATGTACGATACAATATACAATACTACATGCAAGAGTGCCTAACCTATAAATTTTAGAACTCTTAGAATGAATCGTCCCCAAAGTCTCCTATGATCGCGAAGCCAAGTAGGTAGTAAATAAACCCACATATAAGTTAGAAGATACCTCTACCCAGTCAAGGAATCTAAGACTATTCCTATATTATCCCCCAATGGGTACATATAATTAGGGAAGTACTGCCAACGACGTACAGGGTCATAATATTCCGTACTCAGACGTCAACTGGTTGTAAAGACACAATTATAAAAGCTCCACCTACACCTACCAACTTGGAATCTAGATCCTTCCCCGCTTCCTACTTCATACAACTTCGTGATAACAAGACCCGTAGCCAATCATAGTAACAATTCCTCGCCGAAGACTGAATCGTGCCGGACAATCAACCATGGCTCCAGTCGTAGCCCACCTTGTTTCCGAAAGCAAACCATACCTCGTCCCAGGTGAATATATCATGTTCGATTAGTCCAGCCTCAGAACGACTAACACGTCGTATTAGGCAAGCTGCTTGTAAAAGAGCTCTGGTTTGAAGTCCCCTTAGATCATTCTGATCCAAATTCGAAGACTATCAAGCTCTTTGCAAGAAGTGTTGTCAAATATGAACGACCTATTGTCGAATCATCAGAGGTCGTGCAGAGACCTTACCTACTATTCCTCCAGGGCGGTCCTGGTTTGGGAACTCCAGCACCTCAAGATTCCCCTTTGTCAAAGTATATGCTCGATAGAGGCTACGAGCTGCTCTTTCTGGATCAGCGAGGCACAGGCTTCAGCACACCCATCTCAGATAACACTCTAGAGCTCATCGGCAGCCCCCAGGAGCAAGCTGACTATCTTAAGCTCTTCAGGGCCGACACTCTTGTCAAGGACAGTGAAGCTGTTCGCCTCTGCCTAACGAGGGACTATCCACCTGAGAAGAAGAAGTGGTCTACCTTCGGCCAGTCGTTTGGCGGTTTTACGACCCTAACCTATCTCTCCTTCGCACCAGAAGGCCTTAGAGAATGCTTCATCACCGGCGGACTTGCCGCCTTAGATAAAGGCCCCGAGGAGGTTTATCAAGCCACCTTTCAAAGGTGTATAGATCGTAATCACGACTACTATAGGAAATTCCCAGATGATGTCGCCACGGTCAAATGGATCGCTGAGAAGATCCGCGAATTCGGTGGTGAAAAAGGAATTCCCCTGCCCAGCGGTGGCTTCCTAACAGTGTCACGATTAATGACTGTGGGCCTTAATTTCGGTGCTCACGGCGGCGTCGACCGAGTTCACAATTATATTATTAGGATGAAGGCAGATCTCGATCAGTACGGCACATTTACTCGCTTCACTCTGAACGAACTAGAACAAGACAACCAATGGGACACAGCTCCAGTCTACTCACTACTTCACGAGCCATGTTGGTGCTTCGGCCCAGGCGTAGCCGGAAGATGGGCAGCCGAGCGAGTGGGCGCGAGCCTAGAAGAATTCCAATGGCTCCGACAGGACTGGGCCGGACCAGCGAGCCTAGGTGAAAAGCCGCTGTATTTCTCCGGCGAGATGATCTACCCCTTCTTCTTCGACACATGCGCCGGACTCTTCAAGCTCAAGGAGACAGCACAGATCCTAGCCGAATTCGACGGCTGGGCACCGCTCTATGATATTGAGCAATTGGGTAAAAACGAGGTCCCCGTGTACGCGGCCATCTATAATGATATGTACGTCGATCCGGACATGTCGCGAGTCACGGCGTCTAAGATTAAGGGGATCAAGGTCTTCGAGACAAGCGTCTTGTACCATAATGCTCTCCGTTCGCGTCCGGATGAGGTGATTCCTCAGTTGCTTCGGTTGCGTGATGATACCATTGACTAAAGAGCTTTTGTAAACTATGGCCCTAAAAGGGTTCATCAAGATCAAGGCCATAGCACTTCGATAATAAATATAACCGCAATATCGTAATGACCTCAGACATTATCTCCCTGGTAGCCTTACTAGGTGTTCAGCTCAGGTAGGTATGGGCAACTATGTATACAAGTCCTACCAAGTCCTAATCCTTGGTTGATCCTTCCTACGTGAATGAGAGTGACCGAGAAATTATATCAGCTAGAATGTATATCTTAGCTAAGCTAGCCATAGAGCAGACACACCAGTAATGACAGTAGATAGTAAAGGTACCTATGTTCTAAAGGTGGCGCACGAAATCGCCCAAGACGGCGTTAGCCTGCCGCAGCTTGCCGCATTGGTAAGAGACGTGCCGTCTGTGAGTGACCCAAGCCATTAAGGCATTGTAACTAAAACGGTGGCTGTAGACCGTAAGGCGTCAACTTGTCTCAGAGGTAATACTTCGGCGACGTAGCATGGCCAGGTACATAGTGGTACAGGCACGCTGCCTGAATGCAAGCCACGGCACGAGACACGTAGGGCAGCACGCCTACCTAGTCTTCTTCATAAACCTGCTGCTGCATCTCGATTCCTGCGTCCCTGTTAGCTGCGGTGCTGCACCAGAGTGAGGGGTCATGCGCGTACGCCACAGTCTGCTTGCCGAATCTGCAATTACCTTGGCCTTGGCAAAGAGCTTCTCTTCGTATTTCTCCTCGTCTTTCGACTTGAGCCTCACTTTGCTTGGTTGTGCCTTTTAAATCGTGTTAGTCCCCAGTTCCCCTTTAGCAAATCCGGCTTTTTGTGATACCTATCACATAACATACCTGTATAAGAATCGGCACAAGCTCCTTGGGGTCGGCATTCGCGATCGCTGCAACGGTTTTGAATCCGTTGTCGTAGAATACCCTTGCTGTCCGGCTTTTGACGAATGTGATCTTAGCCAGTGCTAGGAGATCTGACCTTGCTCCGGCGTTCAGCCTGTCTGAAAAGTGATCGAGAACAGCCGCCATTGCCCTACTCGCGAATTAGCTCCAGGTCTGGCTATAGGAACAAGCGATAGATAGCCTTAGGCTCTATATCGAACGTACCCCCAGCCCATCTGCTCACAAAACTTGATCACTTTATCGGGTAAAGTTAGTAACTAGTGATACTTTGCTATACGTCTTACGTGCTGTGATGCGTTACTCACTTCCAGCAGCAAAACCTTGGCATGTCTGCGCTAGGTTCTGCACCGCGCCTCGTGGTGTGTCGTACTTGCGTGAGACCACATGAATGGGCATCTCGTTGCACAGGTCCCTAAGTTGGAGGGCTAGGTAGAACCGACGATAAATACGAACAGTTTCCTTTTCCTGTGGTGTCGTCTCTTTGAGGTGTCCGCCTTGGGCCCTGTGATAAATTAGTATAATAATTTTTGTTATACCATTCGTCACTTACATCTTGATCACTTGCGTCGGTTTTAGGCCGAGAAATGTCATAACGCGAAGCCCACTGTCATCGAGGCCTTCCATTTCCGATCTAAAGACTCGCCAATCGATGGCAACAGAATTATCATGCACCGGCGTAAACATGTATAGAACATCTGCAACTCTCGTAAGTAATTCCCTTTCCTAAGCGACTTCTCATTTTTTAAAAGAGGTAAAAATATGATAGGCAGAAGTTTGAAACCATGCTTCACTTTTAGGGTTGTAGGGAATAAGGGATAGTAATGAGCGTAGTTTAGGGTATCACTCACGCATTTCGCCATCCATCACGAAGGCGCGCAGTGCACGCTGCATCTCACGATGAATAAACACCCCATCATCCGGTTCTAGTGAAGAGGTGACGATCGCCTTACCCAGCTGTGTTGCAGTATATAAATCGGAGTCGTCGCAATGAAGGAAACCCATCTCGGTCAAATCTCTTAAACTAGACTCGACATGGGTGTTTATAACATCGGGTGTCGACGACAAGTTCAATAGAGTTTTCCGGATGTAATCCTCAATGGTGTCTCTCGAATTGGCCAGTCTAATAGCGGTTATCTCCAACAGCGCTCGTTGAATACGATGTTTATCTGTTGTCAGGCCGCTAGAAATTTGCGGCAATTCGGCTCGCATAAGCTCGATGACATCTTCTAGGTCGTCCTTCCGACAGCACAGGTAAGTCTCTCCGATTTCGTCTTTTCCTTTTCTCCCTGCGCGGCCGCGCATCTGACGGAGCATAGAGGGACCAACTAAGTCTCGGCCCATCCGTGCGTTATGGAGTATGACTCTTCGTGCCGGAAGATTGATACCAGCAGCAAGACTACATGTTGCTACCAGAACCTTCAGCACGCCTTTATCGTAAGCACTAGCAATCAACTCTCGCTCTTCTGTCGTTAGGCCAGCATGGTGAAAAGCAACTCCGGAGGTGACAGTTTCTGCTAGGCAAGGATCAAGTCCTGTACTGAGACTGCGTAGGTCCGCTAAGAGATCAAGTCTTGCTTCGACAACAGTTGGGTCTAGGTAGCTAGTATCACGTAGAGTACGGCTAATAAGCCGTGCATCCGATTCGCAGCCATCTTCTACATGTTAGCATACACATAGCTTAGAAACCCTACTTAGGCGACTCCTTCGAAGGAACAAGAAAGACATTGTAAAGATAGGAGGTTACATACTGTGAGTATATTAGCATTTATGCCAGATGATAATTCTAAGAAATTGCAATAAATGGCTGAATAATGAGAAAAACAAAAGCATAGCTCTATAATCTAGGAGAGTTAATACTGACCAACGACTATTACAAAACACGAGAGCGCCATAGCCAGACCTCGCTGTCTCGACTGCCAATGCGACTACAGAATTTAATACTGTATCCTTAAATTCCTTGTGCGAGCTAGGTTGGATAATTCTCACAGGATGAGCCTGGTGCTGGCTTGCGTTGGAAGTTGAGCTGGGCTGACTAGCAGCCTTGGCGGCTTTAAGGAGGCCGCCAGTTGATGAAGCTGGATAAATTTTGCCTTCATGAACAAGATGCTCTTCGATCGGCACTGGCCGGTAGAATGTGCTATATATGTGGGCATCTAGCCAACGTGATAATAAGTCAATATTTTGCAACGTTGCGCTCATACCAACGATTTGGACTTCATGCTCGAGACTTAAAAGTTTCGTAGCGATGAGTTCCATGAGATAACCACGGTGATCATCATCTAGCATATGAAGCTCATCCAGGACTACGGCTCGAAGCTTGGTAATGGAACAATCGTCAATAGCAGTATTTAGAAGAGAGTTTGCCTGTATTCCTATCAGATCTATGTCACATGAATGCCGTAGACGACGGACCTTCTCGAAAGTGCAGACCCCAATATCAAAGTCTGACCACGTCGCCCTGACTTTTCCGCCACCGAAGAAGCCAATAACTCTGATAGTACCTTCATCAAAGCGTTTCTGCCAAAGGGAAGTCTGCTCCTTTTCTGGCGAATCCTCCTTAAATGTTTGACGCTTGATACCTTGGACAACGTTCCGTAGCCACCGGACTTTTTCTTGGACTAATGCAACATACGGAAGCACCAGCAAAGCTTTCGAATCGCTATCTTCGAGGACCCTCTTTAGCATTAGAATGTCAGCAACTAGAGACTTACCACCCCCTGTCGGAGCCGTATAGACGAGGTTCTTTGACCCATTTAGGAGGCCTGGGCCTAGAAGGCATTGCTTTTGCCAGGTATATATCTCATTGATACCAAGCTCTTTGAAGTTGTTCACCAACGAAGTAGGCAAGCCATATCGTGGAAAAGATAGCAAAAGGGAGCGGTCGACTACTGACGTAGGAGTAGCCTGTACTGCCCGGCGCTGCGAATATTCCGAAGGGTGTGTAATAGTATCGGGGTCAACATCAGTGATGATACTAGCAGCTAATTCAGGTAGCTCTTTGTCAACAGCTGATGCTCTCTGGAACTGAATTGCCCTTTTCGGTGGGGGCTGCTGCTGCTCAGAACTAGCGATATCGGCATGTAATCTCTTGTTGCCTGAAAGGGTAGTTGTATGAAATGTCTTCTGCTGCAAAGTAGTTGACTCAAGTGTCGTTTTATGCAAAATACCTCTTGGTGGTTCCATGATCATCTACCACCTTAGCTGAGGCTGTTGAGCAAAGAAACCTGTAGTTTTGCGATGGATTGGCTTTCACCGTCAACTGTGATATGCATCGGGACTGTTGGTTGATAAGTATCCTTCGCTCAGTCTAAGCACATAGCAAACAGTCTAGTTCCAATTCATGCTATGCAAGGCAGAAAAGCAGAGTGACAAGTGTACAAAAAATGGAGATAGTCGTCCATGCAGCCATGAATCATGATATGTACCTACCTAACCTAGGTACATATGTCAGTTGGGATTTAATCGGGGGCCGTTAAAATGGTGTTGTACACGAAAGCAACGCCATGTCACGTGGCAGCAGGGTGCTCTTTTCTTCAATGCCCTTGCATATGCCAAGTGGAGTGGAGAGCAATCATGGACAGCCTACGCAGACCCTCACCAAGGCATCGGGAATTGGCGCCTGGCCTCCGAAGACCCACTCTATTGACATAATCAGGTACGGCATCGCGTAATCATTGCCGCCGTCGTTCCCAAAAAGGAATTCATGCATTAATCTAATCCTGATGTCTTTCATTGGACGATGGTTTTAACGGATGGATCTCGGATTGGTCTCTCAGGTGGCCCGTGCCGATTTACGAACCTCGTGCGGTCGGGGTCACCTCCAACGTCAAGCTTCCAACTTAATTACATGTACCTCATAGGGTAGGTACCGATGTAACGAGTTGGGTAGTGGGTAGGGTAGCCTAGGACTTGTTTCCCACACATGGAAATGCTGGTTCTCCCGACATCTCGGCATCGTAGGTCAGACTGGTCAGACTGCTCAGCTAACTGCCTAAAACTAGATGACCTTTGCTTATATACTACCTACCATGTAGTAGGATTGTATTTGTCATTTTATCTTCAGACCGTTTCCTATTCAGCTTTCGATTACAACGATGCTCTCATCCTACAGATTACTCTCCGATACATGGCTGTCGTTACGTTGGTCTCAAGTGGGTTCACTTCCGGTTTTATCTGCGTAGGTGGCAAAAAGCAGTGTTCCACATACATACGTGACATATCTGGGCTAATATCCTACTATCTTTTTACTCCCCTTTAGTCGCTTTTGCCCGTTAAGTTCCAACTCTCCGCAGTCCCCAGTTCACGAGTATCGAATAAGCATGTATAACAAATAACGGTATAAATTGCGAAGTAATGATGCTACAATGAGAGAAATTACATTTGTTGACAACAGTTAATGGAGTATCATTAGGTATTTATAATTTCGTTACCATTGCAGGCTACGGATCAATATCGATGAGATCGTAAGCACATCTTGTCTTTTGGATTAGTAGATAGTCAGTTAGTAGGCTCTACGTCCAAACCTTAGGGAACGCCCATTTTCATGGTAACCCATTTTCATGGTTCAAGCCAAGCTGCTGACTAGCAGATACTTTTATACCGCTAGATCTCGTTGCGAAAAGCGGAGATGCCTCTTTTATTTTGAAGAATCGCCCCAGAATCTGGAGGCACTTACCTACTCGTCATGAAGATGCTAGGTCATTTCCGCTGTCGTGCTCTTAAGGGGCAAGGAGGTCAAAACATTCCTCCGCGCATCAGAACTAGTCCTAACCCTTAAAAACCCTGGATTACGTAGAGATTGCCCACATCCAATACACATTAAGTAGGACCCTTTAGATCCGGCTATGTTAGGTTTTGAGGTGCAGTGTAATTTTTATACGGAGCACGAATTGAGAGGTAACACGCCTACATAGCGGTCGATACATCTATTCGGCGAAGCAAACTTCTGACCCTCATAGCAAAGCGGACATTTCAACTAAGGACAATTCACCTTGCTGTACTTTTTGCAGATTTGTGAGCTCGGTTGTCTTGGGTATGTCTCTACTATTGCACAGCGGTGACGGGTGGGATCCCTGTCCCATGTGATCTGGTTGGGCCATTAGATCGCGAGGTGGGGGTTTTTTGCTCAATACCTGTCGTTTTTGTCCCGGTTGCTAGCGGTGCCCAGGCTCTCCAGAGTCCAGACTGACTGCCTCGCCTTTGCCTCACCTCGAAGCCTAAGGCCGAACTGCTTCTAGGACGACGAGAAGCAATTTTTTGGGATTAATCGCAGTGTATTCAATAAGACAGTACGGGTAAGCAATGAACTGCGCCTTATTTGGTTGCTTTCTATGATATCTTGGCGTAGAATGTGTACTATGTAGATAGACAACGGCCATGCTTTGGTTTAAAAATCTCGGGAAACGGGCGGTCTTGACTCGCGGCCAATCTTGGCTAGATCCCCACCCTATAAAAGTGCGACAGGTGATAGGAATGCTGCCTGTCATACAACTGCGCGTCGCCCCGATGAGGTGAGCTCGACGGTTCGGGACACGCGGTAACATCTCTAAAAGAGGAATAACTGCGAAGAGGCGGCCACGATCAATGTTGGTATAAAGAGAATTTACTCCTAAGTTAAATAGGGTTGGCTCTCAAGCGAGGGCGTTAAAGCAGTACAAACGCATCACGAAATATTAGCAAGCAAGCTAAGCAAAATGAAACGGGGATGCAACTGTTTTCAACAAAAAGACACCATGGATTCATCTCAATGAATGGCATATCTAACCAAGAGGGGAATAGAATCTAGTCGGTAACAATATCATATCGATACGCCCTACACACAGACGTCTTCGTCGAGAAAGAAAAGCACGCAGACACAGCATATAATTTCAGATGCGAGAATGATGGATGAGATGAAGTCGAATAGAGCATGCAGCCTTTAGCAGGAAGCGTAAGTTTGGTTGGACTTGACAGGGGTGGAGGTAATGGATGTGGGCCGTGGGCTCCCAAGGCGAGACTTTTTAACCTCAGTACCACTCCACAGACATCCACACACACTGGCCTTGTCACTGGCCTTGTCGGGGAAGTGTATGTACAACACACGCCCAATATTTTACCCTTGTTTACCTAGCCCTTTCCAGGTACCGGTACCGCGGCGCTACCATCTGCCAATAAGCCCAGCTGGTACAATATCAGAGTTTGAATGGCTGAAGATCCCAACTCCTCCCCCGTCAAATATTCCCCGTGCCTTTGTGCGTCTCTTTCTTGACCATTTCCCATTGCTCTATTAAAACCTATTTAGATGGTAAATAAATGCATGGTACGGGCGGCATTGTACTATGTACAACCAGCAATGAATTACCTATTGCCGTTAACCTGCATACCTTGACCTAATCTAGGTAATCTACAAGGTAGACATAGCATACAGAGTTCCTATTTCCTTTTCCTACATCCTTTTACTTACCTACATACATCCACCCATCCATTCATTGCCTAGGTTAGTATTGATGCATCTGTACCATCTGTACACTGGATGATTTAAAAAGTACATAGATACCTCCTACCTTACCTACCTTACCTACATTGTACATGTAGGCCAGCCAGACTAGTAGATGTTGCATTTCGATGCATTTGCATCTCTTGACTTTTTTTGCCTTCCTGTGATGCATTCAAGCACTACACACAGGCATCTATCCAATCTACCCAATCTATCCATTCAGTCAATATCTCAGCCCTTGCGAACCTCTCCTACTCACCTAGCTTTATTTAGGGCACCCTAGCAGCACAGCACCACGTATGTACGTACATATTATGGTACATGAGGTAGCTGGCTAGTCCAACGTTCGTCAAAAAAGTCACCCTTCTCTTTTTTCTTCTTCATTCCATACAGTAGTAGGTTACCTACCTACCTAACCTTTTTACCTTAGCTACCTTTTTTTTTCCTTACCGCGCCTTTCATACCCCGGCAAATCTAGCAATCTCCAAGATCCCGAAGTTTAGATTCCCAATCTGCCTCATCTTAGTTAGAGCATCCGTGTCATCAACAAGTTTTCCCAAGTTCCCTTCTAAATTCTCCTTAGTAGGCCCTCGTGCTACTTAGACGAGAGCACAATTCGGTATCGACAGTCTCGATATCATAGGCCGATCATCGTATGCTCTTGGCAACCCTACCTTGCAATATCTACATACGTATGTACCAGAAGCGTACCAGAAACTACATACCTATCTAGTAAGTCGCCGGTCTACTCATACATCCCTATCCGCCATCCACCCATACATAACATAGCTCGTCTACCTTACCCATCCTATGATCCTATGGCCTGCGGTCTATCCGGCTAGTCGTGTGGGTAGTGGGCACCGATTTGATGGTCTGTCCCGCCGCCTCAAACCTCCCCGGTCCATCTTGGCCTACTTTACATAAACCTTCACTTCTACATACCCTTCACATCTTTCCCGTCCCACACCAGTCACGTCTCCCACCTTCTTTCTTCCCAAACCTCACCATCCATTTTTCCGTACTCGGTTAGATATTTCGCGTTTTGACCTTTTCTTTCATTATTTTCCCTCCCAAACTTTATTGCCTTCGTCTCGCCAACTTAACCATACATACTTTTTCGTCCCTGCCCTTCCCTTTCTGACAGACCTCGAGCCAGGACTATCGTGGGACATAATTCGGTAAGCTTCCCACGGACCCTTGTCTTCCAGCCTGCCGTGGTACCACCGGCGAAACGCTCATATGGAATCTTCGCCCTCCAGCATAGTTCCTGTCTGAAACATTCTGTCTGCGAGAGTTGCACCTATATTGCCAATCTTATGGACCCAGATTTCCACTGTCTGCCTCGACTAGCACCGCCGTAAACTTTTCGGCGTTCCTCCGTGTGACATTGTATGCGCCGCCTTTTAATCACCCACCATGGCGCAGAAGTCGAGCGACACCGATGACCAGCCCAATCCTTCGTCATCTTCAACCAAGGACCCGACAGACTCCGGCTCCGCGCACAACAACACACCCACACCAGCACAAACCCCAAAGCCCACCAACAACAAGGCCTCTGGGGATAATGCAGCAGTATCCCAACCAATGACGAAGTCAACCTCGTCGGGGTCAAACCCGTCGGGCAAGGAGGCTATGACAGGCCCATCTCCTTACGGCACGCGTTCCCGCAATCGGGGTCAAGCGCGCCCGAACTACGCAGAGGACAAAGATATGGACGTGGACATGTACGATGCTTACGCAGACAAAAAGGATGAGGAATCTAAAAAATCCTCGCGACAGGTCGGTGCAGCTGCGAATGGTACCAGCGATGCACCCAAAGGCGCGAGTTCGACATCACGCAAGGGTGCAGCACCAGAGGATGGCAAGGCTAGTAATGGTTCGCACAATACAGTGAAGGATTCGCATCCGACGAGCAACGCGACTACAAATGGTTCGTCCACCACGGCATCTACTACTTCGTCCAAAAAACGAAAGGCACCCGCGCAATCGGCTGCGAACAATGCGCATAGCAATGGCAGTACCCCGGCACCGGCTGGTCCTAACGCGACGAAACGAGGTGCTACACACGCGACAGCTATTACAACTACACACACTACTGCGGGATATAAGGTGACGAATATGCTTTGTTTCGAGAAATGCGGTGCAATCCCGAAGGACGGAAAGATGGTGGCAGATGACGGAACAGTATTGGAAGCGAACGGTATGAACTTATTCAACCCCACGGAAACCGAAAGCAATTTGCGCTTCCATCTTAACAAAATAACTAGCTGACTGACCGACCGACTGACTGACTATATTATTTAGACCATGTATATCTTGTATGCGAACCGCCAGGAGAACCATATTATTTAGGACGTATCATGGAGTTCCTACATGTTCAGAATGATGTTACAAAGGCTGTGGATGCGTTGCGGATCAATTGGTACTACCGGCCAAAGGACATCGGTAAGAAGGTCAATGACACCAGACTGGTCTTCGCCACTATGCACTCGGACATTAGTCCGTTAACCGCATTGCGCGGCAAGTGTCAAATCCGCCACAAGGCCGAAATTGACGACATGGAGACTTACCGAAAAACTCCCGACTGTTTTTGGTATGAGAAGCTGTACGATCGTTATATTCAGAAGAATTACGATGTAATCCCGTGTTTTCAGATCGTCAACGTGCCTGAGAGGGTCAAGAAGGTGTTGGACGAGCGGTGGAAGTATATTTTGGTGGAGCAGGGTCGGTCTAAGGAATTTACTAGTGCCGTTAAGCTGTGTAAGAGATGTAGTGGGTATTGTGCAAGGTATGTATGCTTGCTTATGTCATCTCTCCACACTTCCCCTTTCTCCTTTCCTTCTGGGTCTTCTGGGTCTTCTGGGTCTCTATCCCTGTTTCCCTGCACCTGCAACTGCAACTGCAACTGCAACTGCAACGAGTCAACGAATCCAATAAATCAACGAGTAGCTAACTCGATTAAAATAGCAACGATTCTGTCGACTGTGCAGTATGTCAGCAGACGTATCATATGAACTGTGTTCGTCCGCCTCTGCTGAAGAAACCATCACGTGGCTTTGCTTGGGCTTGCGCCGCATGCAGTCGTGCCCAGGAGAGAAAGCTCGAGGCCCGACATACGCCAAGCCTACTTGATCCGCATCTAGAGGCAGAGGAAGAAGAGCCTTGGGAAGATGAGGAGGATGCTATCGATACTAATCGCACGAGCCCTGCGGATGGCATCGACGACTCTCACCAACCCGCAACAGCAGAGCAGATATATCACGCGAGCCTATGGCCTTACCGGTACCTAGGCCAACATTGCAAACCTGAAGATGCACTAGATTACGATGATCGCATATATCCCAGAGCCGGATCTCGCTTAGGACCCAAGCACCAGGCAACCGTCCTTCCTTGGTACGGCCGTCCGGTCAAACTTGTGAAACCTCTCGAGATCAAGAAATCGGGTAAGAAAGACGGCAAGCAATCCAAGGAAGCCCTTGCGGCCCTCGAGGCAGAGAAGGCCCGCCGAGAAAAGCGGCCAAGATGGATTCAGGACGAACCTCCAGGATATGTAGCGAGGGGGGAAGATTACGACAATGATGACCCGAATAACACGGC